AATATTTAATTATTATAATACTGATTTCTTGGTAGAAATAACATCAAAAGTGCAAAAAGTTAATCAGAAATATTCATTTACACACAAACTGACCACCAAACGCAACTTTCAGACGCCATCTTTATTTTTTAGCTCAACCGTCATGGTATGGAACGCAGAGGATTGTGGGATATCAAAGGCAGCGAAGGATACATCTATGCTGCCTTCAAAATTCGATCAGAAGAAGGTACCTCCGGAGACAGGAAGTAAAGCAGAATTTGGATTCGGACGTGCCTTGATGCCTTCCTGCCTTGGAATGCTGCCTCCGAAGGCAGCATTTTAGAGTTTTCGGATGCAGCCATCGAGTCCTGACTCAGTCCTGATTCTCGTTCAAACTCACGTATCAGGACAGGACCTCAGGACTCCTGAGGTCCTGGCTCCTGATAAGTGAGTTTGTTTGAACGAGAATGCACGCGTTGTCGTTAATGCTTAGACGGACATTATGTGAAAATGTGGACAGTGCCAAAATAAAGGTGTCTATTTATACTACAGATATCGATATTTTATGCGTGGCATCGATGCATCGTATCGTCAGACATCGTATCGATGTATCGATCCATATCGATGAATCGTTACACCCTTAGTAGGCTATACGTGACCGGTCAGTTGCGTGAACGAAAAGTTTATTGCGGAATGCAAAAATTTTGCATGCAAAGTTTATCAGGGGAACGCAAAAGATTTGCACGTGACTCAAAAGTTTATCAGGGGAACGCAAAAGTTTTCAAGCGCGATCATGCAAAGATTAAAGGCAGGGTATGTGAGTTTTCAAAAACACTTTAGAAAACTGATTCGGGCCGAATCGCAAAACAAACTTGTAGCCAATCAGCAATAAGGGGCGTGTCTACTCGTGATGTGGAGGAGAGAGCTTTCAGTGCATGGGACGGACATTAGCCGAGTCGAGCGACAGAGAGGGCGGATAAAAAAACAAAAGAGGAAAACGTCTGCGGAACGATAAGGCAAGAAGTAGGACCCGTGTAAATATCGGATCAGCTTTCCAGCGCTGGAGAGAACTCAAGGAGCGGAGGCCTGCGATCGGACTTTTTTCTCTGGTGCTGTTTTGTGGTGTTAGTAAATTCACCACTTAATTTTGAGTTAAAATATGTTGTTGTAACTTGCGTTACTGAGATTGTAACGAGTAATAATATTACCCAAATTTGATTAGTAATGCGTTATATTACTGCGTTACAGCAAAAAGTAATATACTACTGTAATATTATTACTTTTGTAATGCGTTACTCCCAACACTGGTTGTGAGACACATCCCTGTCTGTGTCCCATGTTGAAGTGGTCCAACAGGTTCTCCTCTCTCATTACCTGCTGATGCGTCTCTCCATCCACGTTCTCTCCGTTCACCTCCACCACCCGGTCGCCGGACCTGAGACCGGACAGGTCCGCGGTGGAGCCCGGCTCTATCATGCGGATGAGCTGCGCTCCTCGGTTGCGTTCGCCGTGCAGATGAAATCCGTAGCCGCGGTCTCCTTTAGTCAAATAACAGAGCCGTGGACGGAGCTCCCGCTCCAGAATCTCCCTCTCCAGAGTGTTCGCCATATCCAGCTGCAGCCGTGTGCAATCGCAACATAAATATAGCCTGCTCTATACTATCGTGAGCTTTATTAAAGTTTTTGAGGATGCATTATTCCACATGCCGAGTCTGCAGGCGTTGTTTCTTAGTCATTTAATAGTAAGAGAATAAACGTAATGTAACATACAAACGGTGCAAAATAAAAAAAAATGTCAGTAATAGTGTGGCTCTGAGATCAGTATCTGAGCACGGAATGCATCAGTGTGCGAGTGCGAGAACGGAACAGGTGGAAGAGGACCGGAGGAACTGTAAAGTGTGTGTGTGTGTGTGTGTGTGTGTGTGCGAGAGAGAGAGGATTGGAGAGATCAGATGTTGGATAAGTCACAGATATCCACGCGGAACTCTTCCTCTTCACGTGTGTTTTATAGACAGATCTGGGATCAGCTCATCTAACCCACACGGATTCAATAACACAAACACGACTGACCTGAGCAGTGATGATCGACTATATCACCCACTGCATTTAAAACAGGCCAGATCGCCCACCCGTTCAACTGCAAACCTGCAACACACTAAAACACAACAATTAAACCATTCAGCTGGAAAACAGTAAAAATACAATGAGTACAATTAATGCATAATGCTAAATGTACTGTAATCTGATCAGAGACTCTGTGATCTGGTGCTTTTCTCATATTTATAAAAGTCTTGCGCAAGTAAACACGGATTTTATAGGTGAAGTAATTACATTTTTTTTGGCCGTTCTGCCCTCTGGTGTTGACAAAAAACAGTCCAGGCTTGAATTAAATCAAGGCTGTTTTCAAAATAAAACAGCATGAGAATACTGCCCAGAAAAAAATGTTAATCCCCCAAAATATTAAGCAGCAAAAACTGCTGATAAAAATCATAAATGTTTCTTGAGCAGCAAATCAGCATATTATAATGATTTCTGAAGGATCATGTGACACTGAAGACTGGAGTAATGATGCTGAAAATTCAGCTCTGATCACAGGAATAAATGACATTTTAACCTATATTAAATTTAAAATAATTAACAAACCCACACACTATCAATACTTGCTAATTCTTAAACTTTATTAAACGCAACGTTTCGGTCCACTGACCTTCATCTGAAACAGTTTGCTGCTCGAGCATCACAGATTTACAAGTTACTCAAACAAAAATCACTGTGGAATGAATGAAGGGGCGACGTGAACATTTTTATGGTTTCTCACAGCTTGAGTATATTAAGACTAGTTTATTCACTATATGCTTTACACATATAAAACATCCAGGTTTCACATCATTACTGGGTGCTTTAATAATAATATAATTGTGTATACGTCACATCATTGTGTGATTATGTAAACAAACTGGTGAATCAGTTATTTGAACCAGAAACGAACGGTCCGAAAGAAAACAATCGCATTTCGCTGTTTGCATGAGGCTCTGGATTGCACAGACGGATCGTTTCACTTCATAAGACCTCAATATATCGTATCGATTGCTTGAACGAGTTCATCCAAAACGAACTGTTCGAAAGAACCGATTCGCGGAAAAGAGTCAGACTCGTCAGTTTCATAAGCGATTATCGCGTGTAGTTTCTTAACACCGCCAGCGCTTGTAAAGCGAACGTGCGCTCGCGGCTCTTAGAACTACAATTCCCTGCAGTCAGTGGTCACGTGACGTGTTTTTGTAGGAAGTGCATGCCCGTGTGTTAAGCATGAATTCCGGGGGGCAGTAAAGGGGGCTGGTGAGAGCAGAGGCGCTTCTGTTGGCTGAGCCACTGCGTGACAAATAAATGCATAAATCGGGAGCGATTCAGTTTTATCTTTTAGTTATATGTTCTCGATATCATCCCACCTCCATCATCCGCAGACGGTAAATTAACAGTGTGTTTGTTTGTTGCATTGGCATGTTGTTTATGGATTGATACTGGTTTATTTATTTATTTATGTCTTGTTTATTTGACCACATCGGAGATATACGTGTATTTACACGGTTTATTTGGCGTGTTTATTTTCAGGTATTGTCTCTGTCACAGTCAATTGGTGCATTTTTAAATGCAGGCTTTTTGTGCATGGGCTGAACTGAAGTGGACTGTCACGAGGTGTCAGACGTTTGACTAATGTGCAATGTTTTCATGTCGAAAGAGACGATATATCAGTGAAATGGATTGTTATTTATGCTACAAATGAGTTATGGTTTAGTAGAAGTGTTTTGAGGTCTTGAGGAGCTGAGGTGCTTAAATCTCCTGAGGTACTAGAAATGACATGCCACAGAGAGACCCCAAAAATACATATGAAAGACTGGTTAAAGAAGGAGTTGTCAATCTTTTCTGACCCAGGGACCCACTACCAGACATTCAGGGGCCCTGGGACCCTCAATATATGTGTAATCTTTCTTTAATTACGTGAGAAATATTATAACATTAAATGTCAAAATAATAAAAAAGACATATTTGTAGGTAGAATATTTAAAATAGAATAAATAGAATATTTTAAAACATACTGAATTTATGATTTATTTGTAATTTTTTAAGATACATCAAAAAAGCAGAAAAAACAGGGGTAGGGAAAAAGTTTGAAAAAAAGAAAGGAAAAAAAACCCAGTAAGCTTATTATAAAAATAATAGCAGAATATATTTTTTTAAAATGTGAAAAAATATAGTAAGCAGAATTTTTTTTAAATTATTTTTTAAATCATTTTATATGTATATTATTTTAGATAATTCTAAAATTATTTTAATTCTAGATCTAAAAATATAAAATAGAAATAAAAAAATATATATATTTAAAATATTTTTTACAATTTTCTTTTTTAGTTCAGATCAGCCTACAGACACTCTTTTGTGCTTTTTTTGGATCTCCAGCTGCAGGAGGTTTGAAGTATCTCTCATTCTCTCATTCAGGGTCTCTCGCAGGAGTGAAGATGAATAAACAGCCCAGTAAAGAGTCTCTGCGGGACCGGGTCAAGGGGATGTTTGGCCTCGGTCCGACTCGGCCTCACAGCAAACAGACCGAGAGCAAACCGTCAAGACCCTCCAACGTGTCTCCGCCAAACTCCTGCTGGATCAGAGCCGTGGCATGTTTGATGTACTTCACCTTTGTCTGAGAAGAAGTTTGTGAGTTTTTGATTGTTAAAATCTGTTGCTCTGATTATATAAACATATATTTGAACTTGATACGTTTGGACTTGATCTGCTTCTTTTTTCACTTTTGTGGTTGTGTTATTGCAACTTGACAAAGTCTCTGTACAAAATAAAATACTATTAAATAGTAATAATAATAATAATAATAATAATATTAAAAACATACATTATATAAAAATAAATAATTATAGAAAATGATTAGAAATTACATAAAATATTTTTTAATAAATGTAGTTTCACCTGTGTAGTTAGTCTCACCTGCAGGAGTTTCTGCATGTGTTTGCAATGGAGCAACTGAAATGCTCTGCTCGTGAACTTCTGCTTTCACTTTTGGAGGACCATCTTCTGATCTGAGCCCTTGAGCCATTCTGGATCTCAATCTGCGAATTCCTCCTTTATTTACATCACTTTTCACCATAGTTTCAGTCGCACAAGTGTCTAATACAGCTATTGATTCGGTGAAATATGGAGAGTTCATTCTTACAGTCAAACGAATGAATATATTTAAACACACAAATTCCAGACTGGCGCCAACATTAGATGACATTACCTGACTTAATGTCACAAATATAACCTCAGTTTTTGCTAAAAACAAACCTTTTGGACACAACATCCCTATCCATGCTGTCGATAACGATGTCCCACTCCTGAATGAATCATTCTTTTGAGCCGGATCTTTTCAATGAATTGTCTGAATAGCAGTGAACGGATCCCACGAATCACTGAATCGATTGCTTGAACGAGTTCATCCAAAACGAACTGTTCGAAAGAACCGATCTGCGGGACCGGGTCAAGGGGATGTTTGGCCTCGGTCCGACTCGGCCTCACAGCAAACAGACCGAGAGCAAACCGTCAGAGTTCATCATCACGCTGGACATCCTGATGGTCAGAAACACTCCAATAATCATTCACACCGTCTACACTTCTCCACGACCTTGTGTTTCTCATGTATTCCCTCTCTCTCTATCGTTCAGGAGCTCACTCCAGAGTACGGCCTCCACCACCGGATCAGAGTCATCAACCACGTGTGCGATCTCGCCAAATCCAAGAAGTTTGAGGAGGTGAGGAGCATCTGCCTGCTCATATATGTGACCCAGTCATAAGTTTTGAATAAATAAATAAGCTTTCCACTGATGTGTGGTTTGTTAGGAAAGGACAATATTTGGCCGAGATGCAACTATTTGAAAATCTGGAATCTGAGGGTGCAAAAAAATCTAAATATTGAGAAAATCGCCTTTAAAGTTGTCGAAATGAAGTTCTTAGCAATGCATATTACTAATCAAAAATAAAGTTTTGATATATTTACGGTAGGAAATTTACAAAATATCTTCATGGAACATGATCTTTACTTAATATCCTAATGATTTTTGGCATAAAAGAAAAATCTATCATTTTGACCCATACAATGTATTGTTGGCTATTGCTACAAATATACCCTAGCGACTTAAGACTGGTTTTGTGATCCAGGATCACATATGAGTAGATGAGCAGATCTACAGTGTGTTGTGTGTGTTTCAGCATGCGGTGGAGGCCGTGTGGAAGGCTGTGGAGGACATGATGCAGCCTGAACAGCCGCCTGAAGCCCATCATGCAGTGCTGGTGCTGCTGAGAGCCATTATACAGGGACAGGTGCACATTTTGAACTCCTTGTGAAACACAGTGCAGTGTGGCGGCAAACACCACTCACGTTTCCCTCATGATCTTCTTATGCAGGGTGAGCGCTTGGGTCCGCTCAGAGCCTACTTCTTCAAGATCATTCTGGACTATCAGCCCTCTAATGAAGATCTGGCCGAGAGACTGGAGGTGTTCAAGTCCCTCACGGAGAACGGGAAAGACATCACCTACCTAGAGGAGGAGATCGGTACGGTTCACGCATGCTTTGATTCATCCTGGTGTTCTTAAAGAGATAGCACACCTAAAAAGGGAAATACTGTCATCATTTACTCGCCCTCATGTCATTCCAAACCTTTATGAGTTTCTCTCTTTTCTAAGCACAAAATAATACATTTTGAAGAGTGTTAGGAAACAAACAGTTGTCGGTAGCCATTGACTTCCATTGTATGGAAAAAAAATACTATGGAAGTCAGTGGCTAGCTGTTTGGTTTTCAGCATTCTTCAGAATATCTCCTTTTGTGTTCAAGAGAAGAAAGAAGCTAATTTACAGCTCACCTGTATGACTTTCGTTCTCCAAGATATTTAACGGATGTATAAATGGTTTGTGTAGCATCATATGCAGATTGTAATACGTGTTTGTATGTGTCAGCTCGGTTTGTTCTGCTGTGGATGGACATCGGTCTGTCATCAGATTTCCTGCATGTGCTCGTGAACTTGGTCAAATTCAACTCCTGCTACCTGGATGAGAACGTCTCCCTCATGGTCCAGTAAGAAAACACACTCGCATTTCTCATTAGCTTTTGAAAGCTTCTGCTTAAATGCTTGAATATTGACTTGTAGACAGGTATACACTACCGGTCAAAAGTTTGGGATCAGAATGATTTTTAATGTTTTTTACAGGAGTTTCTTATGCTCATCAAGGCTGCATTTATTTGATTAAAAATATAGGAACAGAAATAAATTACATTCTAAAGGATATTAAAATAGAAACTATTATTTTATATTGTAATAACATTTTGCAAGATTACAGTTTTTTTTCTGTGTTTTTGATCAAATAAATGCAGCCTTGATGAGCATAAGAGACTTCTTTAAAAAACATTACAAGTCTTACTGATCCCAAACGTTTGAACGGTAGTGTACACTGCAGTTCAGAAGTATGGGGTCTGTTTTTAGATTGTGTTTTTTGAAAGAATTAATACTTTTACTCAGCAATGATGCATTAAATTTATCAAAAGTGTCAGTAAAGACATTTATAATGTTACAAAAGATTTCGGTTTCAAATAAATGCTGTTCATTTGAACTCTTTATGCATCAAAGAATCCTGAGAAATTGTATCACAGTTTCCACAAAAATATTCAGCAGCACAACTGTTTTCAACATTGATAATAATAGAAATATTTCTTGAGCACAAATCAGCATATTAGAATGATTTCTGAAGGATCGTGTGACACTGAAGACTGGAGAAATGATGCTGAAAATTCAGCTTTACATCACAGAAATAAATTATTTTTAAAGTATTTTGAAGTAGAATAATATGTAACAATATTAGTGTTTTTACTGTATTTTTAAACAAATTAATGCAGCCTCTGTGAGCATAAGAGACTTCTTTCAAAAACTTACTGACCCCAAACTTTTGAATGCTGGTGTAAATTTGTCTATATATGAATTTCTTTTTATTTAAAAAAATTGGTTCGGTCAAAATAGTGAAGGAAAAGGACATATAAGAGTTTTCCCATGCACTAACTTCATTGATTTGTTTCTCACAGGAAAATCTGCCTTCTGTGTAACCGGACGACTTCCTCCACAGATATCGAGGTAAAAAAAAGTGGTGTTTGACTCAGTCTTTCCGGATTATGATAAAAGCAGTGATAGCTGAATCTGTTTATCCGTGTGTGTGTGTGTGTGTAGGTTGCGCTGCAGGTGTTAGACGCGGTGGTGTGTTATAACTGCCTGCCCTCCGACTCTCTGACGGTGTTCATCATCACACTGTGCCGAACCGTTAACGTGAAGGAGTTCTGTGAATCCTGCTGGAAGGTACACAGAGAAGTATTCAGCCGAGTTTAATATTTCACATTTATGGTGCGGTTCATAAGCATGCTTTGACCTCTCTGTTGTTGTTTTTGTCTGGTTGTGTGTCTAGTTGATGCGTAAAGTGCTGGGAACTCACCTGGGTCACAGTGCCATATACACCATGTGCCGTATCATGGAGGAGAGGTACACACTGACTTATAACGACAGAAGACAGATTTGTGATTGGTTAGAGAGTCAATAGGCTATAAATATAATAATAATAATAATAATAACAGTAGGTATATACTTGAAAAAAATACAAATATTTGTTAAATAAAAACATTTAAGCTTTTATATAAGGTAGATTTTCATTAGTAT